CGTATTAGAACCAAAATCATCTTTTTTTTAATTAGAATTGTTGTAAACAATGATTTTCTTTCTTTACTGTCAACATTTAACCACTTTATCTTTCTTTTCTCAAATTAATGATAAAAAAATAAGAAAAATGAATTTTAAGACTAAAATTGACTTTATACTTAAATTTTGAAAATTGATGGATCAAATATTTATAATTAGGATAATTTAGAGATTACAATGAATATTTCACCCAAACTTTGTTAAAAACATTCATTCTCTCCATTTTAACCTCTCCATTCCCTAAAGAATTTGATTGGTCTTCAATTTGATAATTTAAAGGTGTAATAAATTAAAAAAAAAGTTTTGAAATAAAAAGAATTATTGTAAAAATCTACAGTGATGAGAGGATCCCACGCCTTTTAGTGTTCTGTGTAATGTAGTCATTAAATTTAGTTTTAGGGATGTATATTAATTAATTTGAGAGAACAACATACATTGCTTAGCTTCATTTTTCTACGCATTCACAAAAAACAAATAATTGGAAGGACCGATTGCCATTTCAATTTTAATCTATCGTTGATTATTTATCACTTACTGCTTCAAAAAATTTAAATTTATGTGGTTTATTCTGCTCTATGTGTATGGATTTCTTTTCAATTAACTTCTAATCAGCTGTAGATTATTTCTCGCTCATTGTGTTTGAATTTCTTCTCAAATAATTTTGAAGTCATTGCTAATTATTTCTTACTTATTGCTTGTGAACTTTTTTTTAAAGAAAAGAAGGTTGATTTTAAAGATAAGACTCAAGTGAAAAGCAATTGTAGAATATGAGGCTTGTTTGACATTTATTATGGAAGTTTATTTTCTTTCTTTATGTTTTTGAGATATTAGGTTACTGTCCCTATAATTTTTAAAAATTCTATTTTGATAATTAATTTTATTTCTTTATTTTTTAATTTTTTCAGAAGAAAAGAAGCAGGGTTCTTTATGTCAAATAGTTTCATATGACTAGGGGTTATGATTATGTATTTTTTCCCTTGAAAACACTTAAAACAATATATCTGGACTTGGAAGGTTTTTGGGTTTCAAACCAGGATTTTGTGTTTTTAGAGATAATAAATTGGTTTAACAAGATTCCTAGATTATTTTTTAAATATTTTAGATAAAAAAATAGGTTGAAATGAGTTTTTGGGAGGAAAAAAAACCATGCTTTCCTACCATTCCAATGGTTGGATTCTAGGCTTAGCGGATAACGTGTTTTTTTTTTCTCAAATGATTAGGGTAGACAATGCGTAGTCCACCTCGTTAAACTCTAAAAAACAAAAACGGCTACGTGCAATTTGTAGTTTTATAGGCCTAGCCCACCAAACCCAACAATATCTAATTTAATTTAAAAAATAATAATAATTTTTTTAATTAATGATTTATTTTATATGAATTTTTTAAAATATTTTTTTGATATATAATTTAATTAATATCTCTTTTATGTGGTTTGTTTTGTTTATTTAGCCTTTTTTATATTGTGATTATTTTTTATAATAGATGTGTCTAATTTTAAAGAGTATGGTATAACCCATTTGAGAGGTTTTTTTTTTTAAAAAAAAATATAGATTGAATATGTTGTTTTCATGGAAATTGAAAAGTTAACATGGATTAATTTTTTTAATTTTATATTTTGATATTTTTTTTGTTGTTTCATATTTTTATCATATTATTAAATTTATCAAGATTTAATCTAGTTATCAAATTTCTCTTTTTTGAATAAAAAACACAATTTTTTTTTCTTTCCAAATAAAAAAATTGGAGTTCAAATGTTATATGAACAGTGAAAAAATAAGACCATTAAAATGTTTTATGAATATTGTATAAATATTTTTTTATAATATTAAAAAATATTCATCTTTTGTTAATCCTCTTCAACTCAATAACTAAAATCTCATTTTTTTTATTTAAAAAATATTTATATTATTTTAATATATCTTTTACAATAACAAAAAATTCAGCAGCGTAATGCGAGCAAACCTCTAGTTTTCCACCTTAAAAAAAACAAAGAGGAACATAAATAATGTTAAAATAATAATTTAAATATGGTCCCCTTCAATTTGACCCACGAGGGGTATCAGAAAAGCAATGTATAATAAAATATACCGCGACGTGTTTTGCAGCCATTCTTTTACTATCTGAAACCCATTAAAAACTCTCGTATTTTCAGAAACACCCCACGTATCAACTTCAGAAATCCCACCAAGAACATTTAGTACTTATACAATGGAGTACATAAGACAGATAGAATCTCTGTTTTCTGTTGAACTAACCATATGCAAGCACTTGGGCACACTTCATGAGGTAATTACGGTTAATGTGTCTCGGCATAGATTTGCAAAATTGAATTCCAAGGGCAATGAATTTATTCTGCAGTGATATTTTACACACTCTATGTTTGTAGTCTCTGTATCTTATTGCATTACTGGGAAAAACCCTGTCCGATTAAAACCTTTCAAACCATGATAGAGAAACCAAACAATTATAGAAAGTTTTGCACCTGGTAATGATCACGTAGAAATCGCCATTGAATAATTCGAAGGCTTTGGAGTGTGAAACAGAAGAATTGCAGTTTGCAATACAAGGCCTTAGAGAAAGTAATGTCATAACATACAAAAGTCCAGGGTTTCTAGCAAATTAGGCAAAGCTATTATTATCTACTCGGAAACATCAATCCAGGTTCAGCATCGACAAGTTGGCAGAGTATGATACATAAAATTGAGGAAGATAGAAGCTAAAGCTATGATAGTTCTAAAAAGTACACAAGAAGCCCCAAAAAAGTAAGATAATAATTTTCTCTCGCTAAGTACCATTGCACAGCCAGAACAAAAATAGAGCTCACTCATACAAAGACTGCACAACAGTAAAAGCCATAAACTAACTAGGAAAACTGAAGAGTCCACTCACACTGATGACTTGCGCAATTCGGCAGCCCCGTGAGCAAAATGGCACCTTTGACCAAAAGTGCAAGACCCTTTGGCAAAATTGTCACACAACTTAGTCTTATAGTTGCTTCCTGGGTTGGCGTGGCCCCCATGACCCCCAGAGGTTTTTGCAGCGGCATTTGCTGAAGTCACCCTCACAAGCTCTTCTACCATCTTACTAGCTTGGGCAATCTGTTCCAATGACCCCTCTAGCTCAATGTTCTTGAGATTTGGATTTGTTTCATGCTCCTTAATAGATAGCTTAATTCCTGTTTGGCGGCAGATCTGCTTGGAATGCACACCAGCCTTACCAATGATGGATCCAGCGAGGGAGGCGTCTACACTGATTCTTGTAGTGGTGGCGAAGACACCGAAGCTGGTGGCAGGGCCAGGAGGGGATGGCTCCACCCGACCACCCAGACGTCCTGGAACACTTCCAGCAGCATGAGGATCGTTGTGAGATGGAACAAAAGCCTTGCCAAGTTCCCACTCACCATGTGCAAAGTGGCATTTATCACCAAATTTGCAACCTTCAGCACTATTGTATTTTTTGCATAGCCGGCTTTTAACAGCAGACGGAGCAGAGCTGTTAGGGACAGGCAGTAAAGCAACAGTAGGTCCCAGATTCACCATCTGGGCCACAGCCTTGTAGCCACCGGGAACATGGTGGAGAAAGTGGCAGCTCTCCCCAAATGGACAGCCAGCAGTACTGCAATCCAATGCATAACCAAAGAAAAAGAAGAAATCAGTTCTGCCAGTCAATCCACCATTTATAAAAGTAAAATAAATGATACTGCTTAACAGTCAAAAAAGTACTTCATCTAAAAGCTAATTACTAATTCAACAATTAAGGCCTGCAACTATCACTTGACAATTAAAAAAGATTGAAATGCTTGACTACAACCTTATTCTTCTAACTATCGACTGCACACAATAACCAAAAGGCAATTAACTCTGATAATAATGCAGGTTCACATGATGAATGCTGTATAACAGCATCCCCAAATATCAGGAATGAAAGCAGAACACGCTACCGCCTATAAAAATGAAATTCTATGTCAAAATTCTGTTATAACCAGAAATTAGGGAAATAGCTGATATAATTAAACTAAGATTCCATAACGTGATGACATGCTAAGGTAACAAGACTCCAAACTGTTAACTTTATCATTGACTAGAAGATAGCATAGCATAAACTTCAGTAGCATGACAAATAACATAGCGATCACAAACTAATACAAATCTATAAAAATAGAACTTGCTGCTATAGTAATACAAGTCCATGTCAGCAAAATCCTTTATTCAAAATTTCTGGCATCATACCTGAGATTTATCTTAACAGATTCCACATTTATCAACAGGAAGTGGGTTCAATAGCTGAACCTAATGTTAAATATTACTGTTGTTAAAGAAGCAGGGACAGCCAGAAGGCATTCCTTGGTATAAAAATAATATCAATCTTCAAGTAACTGTCTTAGCGTCAACTGTATTCGGGCAAGCAATTATCTTTTTTGTAGTTCAATAGTAAACCAAAGTCTCTAATGAAATTCCATTAATTAACTTCGTCTGAACAAAGCACAGTTATGATTAAGGACCTGTGTAACAGCTAAATAGCCACTTCATTAGGGCAGTACATAACTTATATTGTGAAATAAAAAATAAATAAAAATTTACAGTAACTTCTAAATATTAAAGGATAAAAGATAAAATTCAAGGTACTTATTTGGGTGAGAAGATTTGAACCTGAAAAACTTGGTGCATGGCTTCGATTTGCTTCCTACACCAGTTGATAAGGAGTCCATTTCTGTTACACAAATTAATTACTTGTTCTTAGTTAAAAGATTTCCAGATTCTTAACTTACTCTAGAATATTCCCAAGTTTAATACTAGTAGTATTCCCTACAAAAACTGAAGCTCTTTAAATAAAATCATCCAACTAACATAAAGAATGCATAAGGCATAATGAGAGATGTACACTGACAATTACATTCCAACAAAATTTTCACCCTTATGTAGCATCCACTTATATGGGTAACCCTGTCATCATTTTGTTAAACTTCATCAGTAAACCAAAGTCTCCAATGAAGTTGATGGGTGTTGTTTTTGTTGTGAGTTTCACTTTGTTCAGGGCATGTTTAATTGATGTTTGAAGATGATTTGGTTTTTGTTTGGCCAAATGTATTTGTGTTTGAGGCTGTATATTGTTAGTTATGTTTGGTGATTTGACAAATATGTAACAAAAGTGAGTTTGAGGAAAAACCAAAAATCTCTCAAGGTGATTGGGTTAATATAATACATTATATTACTCAAATAAAGGGCAATCTTTTGATAATGAGAAACAGTTTTTAAAGTTTGTGGATAATTTAATTTGAGTGCTTGCATGGTTTGAAGTATTCTGTTTACAGCTTTTCACCCAATAGATGAATGCTACAATATCGGTGCCTACAGTATAACTTGTAATAAAAGCAAGTTTCTCCAGACTAAAATTTTGCATGTTCAACGACAAACGACAGTTAATTTTTTTATTTAACAAGGACATTAGATGTTCTGCCTGACAATACTATGCCAGCATTCAAAAAAGAGCAGAAGAGGTGGGATAAGCAAGCAAATCACAACTACAATCAAAGCTAATGAGGTTAATTCCTGAAACTACTGTCCTACCAGTGAAACAGCAACAAAGGTGAGGCATGCATGCAAGCCGAATTACATCTACAACAAGTGTAAAAGAAAGCCTAACCAGCTATCCCCCAAGACACCATACTTCAAACTTTCTAACAAGAATATAAAATCATAAATTACATCTTAGAAAGAAAACAAAACAAAACAACAAAGATAACAATCAACCACCTTTTCCTCGGATTAGAAGTTTATTCTTGACATGTACCTAAATCTTAAAACAAGCAAAGGATTATAGATTTTTCCGTGAACGTGTGAGCCTAAGGATTATAGATTTTTCCGTGAACGTCTGAGCCTAAGTTTCTCCTCAAAGAAACACTGTACAGATAACAAATTCTTAATAGCTAAGACATAGAAATCCAGAAAATAATAATAAAATAATCATAAGCATAAATAAATCACTAAAAAAAAATCCACATAAAACCCATATAGTAATTAAAGAAATTAAGTTGCTGGATATTGAAATTAAGAGAAGAACTGACCTTGCTTAGATTTCTTGAATCCACCATAACCATTAGTGCCGAAGTCAGGTCTCCCTCTCTTTCTTGTATCCATCATCGATTTAAATCTCAGATCCAAATAAAAACGATCTGGAAAATCCCAATTAGGTAATGAACTCAAAGAGTTAACGCCCTGAATCTGACAAGAGATATAGACACAGAAGCATAAACCCTCACTCCCAGATAAGGGTTTTCTTTCTGGAGAAGCAGCTAAAGCTGGAAGGGTTCACACAGAGAGAGAAAGAGAGAACTATTTTTATATTTAATGATTGGTTATTTAAGAGGAGTTTTATTTGTTATTTTATATTTATTTGCAGGATTATTAGAGGGGGGTTTTTTTCCACTGCATAAAATATTTTTTACATTATTTTGTATTTATATATCAAATTAATATTCTTTTATAATTTTAATAAAATAATATAATAAATAAATAAATATTATTTTAATATATTTTATATTAAAAAAATACATTTGTAAAAATGGATTAATTTGAGTTAATTTAAATTAAATTATTTTTTTATATTTTATAAAAATAAATTTAACACAAAACCACTTACTTTCCCTTATAAACATTCATTCAAAAACAAGTTTCAAGTTGTAAAAATAGATTAATTTGAGTTAATTTAAATTAAATTTTTTTTTATATTTTATAAAAATAAATTTAATATCATTTTAAAAACAAAAAAAAATCATCAAATCTTAACTAGTTTTTTTAATTCAATAGTTCACTGATTAATCCAAGCTTTTGTTTATATTATATTAAATTAATATTTTTTAAAATAAAACTCGGCCCGATGTTGATCTTGGATCAATTCACATGGATTTAAAAACAATGATTTTTATGTGTTAAAAAAATAAACATAGGTGATGGAGTGTTTAGATAAGGAGAATAAAAATCGTCAGCATCCCACGTGGGTAAGTGAGAAATCCAAGAATAATTGATAAAGTTTTTTATTTATTTAAGTAATTGGGCCGCAGGATTTTAATGGGCTTATAAGTTAGGCTATAGGATGATTTTAATTTGGGCATGTTGGGCTTAGTGATAAACTTTTTTTTATGTTATTAGCTGAAAAGATTTGTTCCTTTTTTTTCCAGTTTTTTTAATTTAAATCTTGGAACAATACTTCAAGAAGGTTATTTTCAACATGAAGGGAACATAAAATTTAAACATAAAAGAACATAAAATTTAAAAATAAAAATTTAGTTTTGATAGATATATAAATTGGTCTAAAGTTATTTTTGCTATTGTTAATGAAGAAATATTTGACAAAAAAATGTTTTGTTACATTTATAAAAAACTTGGTTGATAAAATGAGTCTAATTTTGCGCATTTTTATTTGTATATATTAATGACAAAATTACAATTTCCAATACTATTTTTTTTTAATTATAAGTGATGAAGTTGATGAAAATTTTTAATAATTTCTTTGGATTTTTTCAAGAAAAATAAAAAAACAGGTTGCCCTATTATGGATTGTGATGGTGTTACTTATAAAACAATTCTCCAATGCTTAAACTAGCTTTTAAGTTATTATTATTTAAAGGATAAGTAAGGAAAAGAAAAAACAAAAGATGAAAGAGGTGATTGTTTGTGTGTGGTTGGGAGATGAGAGTCCTAGTCTTTTACTCTTTTGCTAGTAATTAATTCCTGTAAAAACTTATTATGTGGCTAACCTTTCCTAATTTAAAAGTTAATAAAGTCAGATTCAGAGTCAATAAGATTATTAATAGCTCACCTTGCAAAGTAGCCACAATGAAAAGATTTTTACATTATTTCGAGTAAACTTTATTGGTTTAAAAAATGATGCATGATTGGTTGTGTTGTTCTTTTAATAAAAAGCATGAGTTTAAATATTTTATTTATTAAATTATATGATAAAAGTTATTGTATGGAGGATACTAAAAAAATAATATAGAAAAAATATGTATAAAAACATATAAAACGGGTTGGATTCATCCTATATTAGGTTAGGCATGAGCAAGGTTACGTTCAGTTTGTATGGGCCGAGTTTAGACAAGTTGTTGCATCTATTTGTTACGCTTGGCCTAGACAAGTTAGGTCTTTCTGTCTAAGATCTCTTTTATGGTACTAGTAATAAGTATTACAACTAGATTTATTCTTTAAATATTTTTAATTACCTTAGTATACTAAAACAATTAATAAGTATCATAAAGCTTCATTGTTGATGTAAATAGTGAAGTTTTTGACATAAAAGTGCTCTTAAATAATCCTAGTTATATTGAACTACTTAAGTTTAGGTTGACAATTCAAATGAATGAAGTTTTTGATAATGTTCACTATTAGCTCGTGGGACAACTTTGAACTTGGATTTGCATGTCTTCATTGTATAGAAAAATAAGTTTGTCATAAATGTTTTTCAAGATCAAAAATTGATTTTTTTCATATTGTCCAACCATGCATGCATTGGAGTTTTCTAAAAGAAGTATTCGTGTTTTAGTTTTTAAGTTTTATAAGTGTTTGTTTATGTTTTTAAAGAGAAAAAATCATGTGCTAGTTAATATTAGTCTAGTTTTTAATCCATTTCATTTATTTAGGTGTTAATAATATCATTTTAATGTTTCCCTGTACGTGGAGGGTTTATTCCATGTATACATTTATGATTTAGACAATATATTAACGATTTCTTAGCAAAATTTGAACTCAAAGTCTTTAACTATGTCTTTTGACAAACTATCAAGTTTTATATCTCATTTATAAGTGGTGGACTTATACCTTAATCCTGTATCTTTAAAGTGGTTATTTAATTTTTTTTTCTTTGAAGTAGTGAGTCATTTGTTTCTGTATCTTTTTGGTTTTACATATTAGTGATGAGCAAAATCATTTTTTTATATGAATTATTCATTACTTTGTGATATTTATACCATAGTAGTATCAAGTTAGTATTAGAGCTTTGAGTTTAAAACCATGGTTATTTATGGACATCGTGTGTAAAGATTTGAGAGGTAGATTCATGCTCCTGAAATTAATGAAATGAGAAGGCATGTTCAATAAATCCAGAAGCAACGTGATCAATTTATGAATCAAAACCATAATGATAATCAAACCACACCATGATTCAAGTGATGATTCTTTTTCTTGACATCAAGGAAAAAGTAATCAAATTGAGAATTTGATATAAAAGTTCTTGAAAATGGTTCTTTTAGCAATAATGATAAGATGAGATATTCTTTTTATCAGGATATACAAGAGAGAATTTAGTAATAAAAACAATGCTAAAAAAGCTAGATTTGTTTTATTATTTTAGATTTTTAATGGATAAGAATCAATCACCAAAATTTGATAAAAATGAAAAAAATATATTAAAAGAGAAGATTTTAATATATAAATCTTAGTTTAGGATGATCTTAAGTATAACAATGAAGTTCTGATTATATCAATTGAGCAACAAGTTGAGAGGGTTGTTCTAAAATTGAGTTTTGATGAAAAAAATTATAAAGAAAATGCTTCATATGTGATTAAGAAGAATTCTAACATTAATAGAATCAAATTGATTTTCTCATACAAAAAAAATAGTGAACTTATTAATGTTTTTGACAACATTCCTTAAATAGTTATCCATAACTCAAAACATAATATAGCTAGAAAAAAAATAAAGGAATTGAGTTGTTCATTCATGATAATTCAAGAAACATCTATGGCATGAAAAAAATATAATTGATATTAAAATATTGTAATTCAAGGCTTGCATAAAAGATTAGAGAAGTGCAAGTGCTCTGATTGGATATTCACAAGACTAGGGAAAAAACTATTTGCATTTTATGATGATTTTTTCTTAACCATAAAAAAATTGATAAGAAAGTATTCTTAAATGGTCCTTCTTATATTGATCTATTTGAGTTTAGGTTAGCAATCCAAATGAATGAAGTTCTCGCTGTCACCATGTGAGCCAACTTTAAGATCAAATTTACATGATTGAATGTGATCTTTTTATATTATCAATAAGTCTTTTTAATTTAGGTGTTTGTTTGTGTTTTTAAGAAGTAAAAAACATATATTAGTTAATATTAGTCTGGTTTTTTATCAAAGTTATTTATTAGGGTCTTAATAATGTTATTTTAGTATTTTTCTAGACTTAAAGAGTTATTCCAAGAATATACTTGAGATTCATATGATGTATTAAGGATCTTTTGATAAAATTTGAATTCAAAATATTTGATATGATCTTTTGGTAAACTATCAAGTTTTTTGTCTCATTTATGAGTGATAGAATTATGTCTTAACTTGATATCTCTAAAGGGTGATTAGATATATATCTTTAGAGTAGTGAGTTATTTATATATATTTCTCTTTAGTTTTGTACCTTAAAGTAGTGAGCGAAATCATTTATTTGTATGAGTTATCTATTACTTTATAATATTCATATCATTTTAGTATCAACTTCTTTTTTTTTAGTCTCCTAATTTTATTTTTTATTTCAATCACATCTTTTTATAGCGTAATTAGAAGAAATTGAGTTTGGAATTATAGTAAAAGTACCAAGTTCAATGTTAAAGGATTAAAAAATAAAATATTAAGAAAAATATATTGATAACCCAAAATTCATTACATTTCTATACTAAAAAATCTAAAATGCTCCTCTCTCTTTCCCCCTTTTCAAGTCATCTTTGTTTTCTTTATTTTTCCTATTTTTTATGTTAATTTCAATTTTTTTCTTTGCATGTTTTTTTAATAATTGATCAAGTTGTCTTTGGATGTATTAAGTTGACTAGATCATGTCGCGATGATTCTCACATATTTTAATTTTAAACCCAACTTAGAAGATGAGTTAGATCATTAGGTTTTTTTTGTTATTGTTGATTTCATCCTTAAAACTCTTTTTTACCATGTGATAGAATTGACTAGGTTACATTGATGAAACTTCTACACATTTTAATTTTGAACTCATGCTAGATAATGATTTCGGTCGGGAGGTTTCAAAGTTAATTCACCGGGTTAGGTTTAATAATAAATACCA